AAACTTGCCTCAAATCAAAATTTGATTAGTTAATGTCTACATACATCCCATAAACCACACTTTTGAAAATCATTCATAAAATTTAATGATTTGATATTTTAACATATCTTTGACGATTTCCTTGAATTCGAAGAGATTTTACCGCTATTCTCACCTTAGTATTCAAGATTCTTTCTATGTGCGTAAATATTTTGTTTCTTTTTTTTTTTGTTAGTCATTAAAGATCAAATCTTTACAATTAAAGAGATAATTTTCAAATTAGAATAGAGAAAATATTTTTTATATTGAGGAAAAAAGTGGAATCATTTGCGAAAAGGAAAGAGAAGAGGGGTAGTAGCATGCTAGTCATGTTTTTACTATTTTTTATTTTTAAAGTAAAGTGTGTTTTAAATCATGACACCATGTTCATGTTATATCATCATATCAGTCTACTCTTACATATGTAATACTTTACGTTCTATAAAATGTTTTAGAAATATTTTTCTTGTTTCGTTTTATTTTATTATTAATAGGTGACAGATAAACATTGGTTAATTTGTCACCAAATTAGCAAATGAATATTGTTGTATATATTATTGACTGATATAACCAATGTGGTTGATGTTTCCGTCAAAAATTTCCACAAATTTAGCCATAACTAGTAACTACTGTACACTAGTAACAAACGATAACCGGCAAAAACAAAATTGTCATTGATCTGTCAGGAATATACAACTATATAGTTATTGAAAAAATCGGGGCAATTACATAAATGTCATTTTTTGTATGTACATTTGCAAGAATGTCACTTAAGGGTGTCTATTTACAAAAATGCCACTAATTATAGATTTATAAAACATATATCTTAAAATTCTAAAATCTAAAAAATGTTTTGATACCTAAAACCCTCTAAACACCCAAAACAAAATCCTCTAAACACTCAAAATTAAACCCTAAATAATTTTGAAAAAATAGCATTTTTGTAAAGATTTCAAAAGTGTGGCATTTTTGTAAAATGGCACTTGAAAAGTAGCATGTTTTTGAAATTTCTCAAAAATCATCCACCCTACGTTAATAACATGTTCTTGTTTAGTGTTACGTCTAATGGATGCCAATAATCCAAAATAAACATTTTATCCCTTTTTCAAGTTGTTGACGTAGACAACGTTGTAACTTTCCTTTAGCAAAAAAAAAATCGTCGTAACTTGCCTTGCGTATATTTTAATTACTATCCAAGTTTTTATTTCACTAGTGAAAATGAAGTCATGAGATATCTTTTATGATTAAAAAAAGCAAATTAATGGCAAATACTTGTTATGTAAATATATATCATATCAAATAAACAAAATATTTATCTTACGACATTTCAACACATAAGGTTCAAAAAAAAAAAAAGACATTTCAACACATCTGCGAAACAAATTATTTGTTTAGAAAAAAAGAATTTAGTATTTATGGAAGAAAGATTTCATTCGAGTAACAACGATAATTAACATGAAAACTGCACTTGAAAACATTTATAATCTAATAATGATTGAATAGTTTTGATATTCAAAAGTCTTAAGGTTCAACTCCGGTGTGTACGTAGCACTCATATAACTAAAAAATATTTAGAGACCACTTCGCACGTAAAGAAATCCTCAAATGATTATATTTGTAAAATCTATATATTATATATATTGGAATCGTTGTTGATGCGTTGTTGTAACCTACAACTTATGGATTATTGATTCTAATTGATTGCGTAATTGGATGATAAGGGAAAAATTCCAATAGACTAGAGCTGTCAAACCCTACGTTGGCATTTAACCAAATACAATAATGAAACAATGCTTAAATTCCATTCATATTTTGACCCCAAAAAAAATTCATATCATATTTTTTATATTTTCTATTGTTCATCAGAATTTCTTAGCCACCTAATATAAATTCATCAAATATATGTACTAATTTTTTAATATAACTTTGTAACTACGTATACACATCTTAGTATCGATATATATAATAATATATAATGTTGTTACATGTATGTATATTTTCGCGTTATTTATTATGTCTACCAAAAATTCAAGTAAATTTCTATATTTCACATAAAAATTGATTGTGCGAGTTGAGTAGTGAACTAAAATTACAAAAATCTTTACAAATTAAAACTACTAATCCTTTAACAAAACAGATAAGAACTACTAAATAAATGTAAATTCTCCGAAAACGCTACAATTATATTCAGAAAAAAAGAAGCTAGAATCGTATTTGATTTTTTAAAAATTTGGAAAAGTAAAGTTGGTAGACCCGAGAATGATCCGTTAAAAATCAACTCATCGGTTACTTTTGTCAAAAGAAAAAGAAGAAAGCAGCTGTTTCCTTGGTTTTGTACATCGCTGGTGCGCGCCATCTTATTCATTGTTATACATTCTTGCATTGTATTTAGCTGTTTTTATTTCCTCTTTTATAAACCACTTACTTATTTTATAAACAAATGATTGATCGCAGAATGAAGAGTAGTATTAATTTAGAATTTATTATATTTCGTTGGTGGAAGCTGATAATTAAATTATTTGACACTATTAGTATTAATTTTCTTAGAGATGATCATCTGACTTTTCTGATTTTATCTACGTATACTTGTACATTCTATTCTTTCTAAAAAAAAAATCATTTTACGTAGGAATCTGTATGATGCTCTGTGAGCAACAACTATATATCTATAGGTCAT